CGTCGTCCATTACAGTTTGGCAATTCCCGATCGCGTACAATTTGTGAACGCCGTTCCCTGCGATCCCTTCGCTCGTCGACTCGCATCCGGCCTACCGATCGCGCTACCGGCTTCGACTATTCCGTTCGACTAGTCGGCTTAACTACGACTCTTTGGTTCCGGCTCCGGCTGCATCTTCTCGCCTTCAGCCATCACTTGGCTCCGATCGCGACTCTCTGTCCGGCTAGCCTACCTCGGACTCCTTCTCGGCGTGACTCTCCCGGCGTGACTGCTGACTCTGGACTCACTGCCCCTTCTGCTCGGCTGCTCCCGCCTCTTGTACCTTCGGTGGGTTTCCCCTTCCTGACTGGTCCGCTGCGCCGCGCTCGTACGTGGGACCCTGGCGCCTCTCGGGTGCCTCACTTGTCCCTTGCCTCCTGCTTCCGGCGCGTTGGTTTTTCCCGATCTTCCTCCGTAGGCGTCTCGGGTTGACCTCCGCCCATCCGCCTACGGTTGCCGATTTTCCGTTTCGGGTCTCGATCTCGTCTGGCGGGTGTCCGAGCGTCCAGTTCGCTCGCGATCCTTATGCCTCCTCTTTCTCCGTGTGCTGGTCTTACTCCGGGTGTCGGCCTGGCTTCCAGCTGCAAATCCGCGGATGTCCCGCCGTGGCCGCCTCCTTTGGTGCCTCCCCTTTGTTCTATCCTTGGTCCCTTGGTCGTGGGTCGTCCGGCTTCCCCACGATGGGTGTCCAAAGTTTCTGGTTCGGTCCTCCGGTATTCCGCCTGCGCCCCAGATGCCGCTCACTCCTTTCCCCGCGCCTCCGCCGCGCGGTTTTTACTTCTTCTCTATTTCGCTTTGGCTCCTGGCCGCGTCTTACGTCTATAACTTATTCTACCCTTCACCCCGCTTATGCTATTCTACATACATACTCTTTTTTTTGTTTTTCTTTTGTTTTTTATTTAATTTTACATGATTTGCTTAATACTAGTCCGCCGCCGCTTCGACTCTCAGTGGCTGTCCATTTTCCTTGTCATCTTGCGTGCGACCTGGAGCCGCGGACGGGTCCTGGACTCGGTCGCACCGTCAATGGTTCTTTTAATTAAATTTAAGCTGCTGTGAGAGGCAAGGGGACTCACTAATAATCAAGCACCCCGAGCAGTGAGAGGCAAGGGGACTCACGGTAAAAAAGCACCCCAAAGGAAACAGAACTTACTACGTCCACGTCGTTGTTTCTGGGTAACGCTAAAAGTAAGGACAACCTTTTGAAGGTCATAATTTTCAAGGTCGTTGTCACATTGGGGTTGAATATTCCTCATAAAAGTACATTAACGACAATTATTCTATCAGAAAATGCAATCAAATAGCAACCACAGGATGTTTTAACATTTGACCTTTAAATGACCTTCTAAGGGTCATAAAAAAATTTCCAAATACCGTTTCCGAAGTAAAATTTTCCGCTCTTTCCGAATCCGGTGTCAAAAATAGGGGTTCCCATTTAAAAAAATCATATTGACCTTCAAATGACCTTCAAAGTTAAGTTCAACTTCAAAACTAATTGCACAGACAGATGGCCCCCTTTGTCCTGGACAACTTTTGTCTGAACCGTTTTTCCCTATCTGGCTTAGGTTCCGAGAAATTCGGGTGCGGCGATTAAAACGGACCACCCTGTATATTCAATTTATAAAGGGCGATGTTAAAAAGAGGCCGATTTTTGCTCATAAAGGTGTAAATAAAAGGAGTAAAGGGAATATAATAGTGTTTTTTTTAATACATTTTCTCACATATACAGTCTAAAATAAAGATATTGTAAAAAATAACAAATATACAATTACTTCTTCTCTTTATATCTTCATTGTTGTCTTCCCTCTTTTGTCACATGTTGGTGTTTTGGAGAGTTCTATTTGAAAAAAAAATGAAACAAAGAAATTATTTGTATAAGCAAATACACATACACGATCATTGAAACAATATATTGATGTCATAGACACATGAAAAAATGTCAATTAATCGATAATGAGCGTAAGAAAGTTTTATAAAATATACAACAGAAAAAGGAAAATTAATAAAATGATTTATCTTGAATGTATAACTTATTGTATTTCATAGTAATATCACATGGTATGACAAATAAAATTCAATAAACATAAACGCAATATCACAATAATATGAATCACAATAAATTCAGTCTCTTATATTCTTTGGCATCGCTCATTATTTATATCTAAATTAATTATAATTAATTATTTAATATTTAGGTGCATAGCCATGCTTTTACTAGCAAAATTGGATTTATTGCGGATTACCGTAGAAAGTGTTTTTAAACGAAATATGCAATATCTTTTAATAATTTTATTTTTAAGATCGTGGCAATTTGGTAGCGAATACGGAAGGTCTCGGAATCTCTTACATAAAAATTGTGTGATATTGTTTTGGGTTGAAAGAGTTTCCAAATTTCGTTTAATTATAGATTCCATGTTTTTAAAAAATTGGAACGTTACAGAATTAACATAAAATAATGTCTCTTCCGCGAAACATTTAATATGCGTAAACGTATCAAAGGTACGTCTTTGTTGCGTCTTTGATCCCGTCGCAGCAATGCATTCCAAACATGTTTTTTGATTTTTTTCAATGTTTGAAATAATATAACCTGCAATGTTATATAAAGCGTACAGTTCAATATCGTCGAAAGCAACCGTGTTATTCGATGTATCTATCAATGGAAAACGAGGGAAAGAACTCGAGTCATCAAGAGAATACGTTTGGCGCTTTTGCGTTAAAATTTCAAAGAAACCATCTAAAAATGACCGGTCATCTTCGTCGTAACTACTATTACGAACGCCTTTCATATATTGAGCAACCATAATTAATTTAAGATCATTTTTGAATTGCAAGGCCGTTGGGAGAACATGCTTCATGCGAACCAAAGAGAAAATATTTTCCAAACAATCCCGCGTAAACTTACTGCCATAAATAAATTTGAAGTCACACTGATCTAACAAAAATGCTGATATTTTATCATTGAAGTCGTTGATATTATTACGGCAATTTGAAACGGTTTCCAATGTTCCTTATTTCCGACCTTTAATAAGGAAACTATATCAATCACTTCTTTTAAAAAGTTTATAGCTTCATCATATTTATCGACATGCAATTTCCCTAACACTGAGCCTAAATTCCTCGATGACATAATTTGAAACCATCTTCGAACTACACCGATAAACCAGGAAGTTGTTTTCCACTCTGGCCTTGAAAATTTATCGGAAAGTAGTTCTAGTGCTGCTTTTACGTCGTGATTAAAAACATTAATAGCACAGCCGACACGCATTTTTTGAAAATGACTTTTCGTATCTAGATATTGTTCTCGCAATTTTGGAGTTAGTACGAGATTAAACTGTTTTTGGCAGTCAACTAATTCAATAAGGTGAGAAGCTTCGACTTTATTAGAAGGAAGGTCATATTTTGTGACATATTTTTCAGGAATGATAAAAAAATTTATTTATTAATAAACTTTCTTTTAAATTCTTTAAAGAATGAGGAACATCAGCAAAGAAATAAAGCTTACGATTTTCATCAAGCGGATGTTGACAACAATTTTTTGTTTTCGATATACCAAAAGTTTTCCACATTGCTTGATTTGCAGCGCCCATGTCGGAAGTAACGAAATGTACTCGTAAACCGATGTCCTCTGCCTTTTTAATAACTTTAAGACTAATACTTTGTAAAACTGACCCATCCACACTGTTAGATGTGAAGTAATAACCTACAATTTGTTTCCATCTGCTACCAATACCCACGATAAGTATTACCAAAGCATGCGTTGCCAAGCCATTAGTGTGATTTGGAAGCGTTACCTTGCCAATTGACGAGTTTAACGACGCATCAAATGATTTACTAACTAGTATTTGCATTTCATCTAAAACTATACCAACATGCACGTCTATATCATTAAAGTAAGTTTTCTTTATACCGAGAAATTTAAAAACATTGTCACTTATGCCACTATCGAACTTTAAATTCTCCAATTTCCTCGTTAAGGTTCTTATTGAGGGAAGAGGCACCGTTTTACGAAGTTCCTCATATCCATTTCTGCCGCATGCAAATCATAATTCATAAGCCCTTTTGAGAGTATCAATTGGTCATTCTTGAATCTTCTTAATAGTCCCAGTTAAGAGCTTAATCTGAGTTTCATTTAAAATTGGCTTAATTGCATTTAAAATTGAGCCCTCACTATGTGTTGTACGTAGTCGCTTCATCTGCCTTTTCATCCGTTGCAGCTTTTTTTTCATCTTCTTGCGCAATCTTTCACTTTTTTCAAGACGTCGTAATAATCTTTGCATCTTCTCATCAGAATTTTTGATTATTTTCATCCCTCCTGAACCTCTACTGAGTTCTTCATCAGATAACGTCTCTTCGCTGCTAACAGTATCACTCTCAGCAGTCTGCACGCTAGTGATGGCATCATCGGCGATGACACAGTTTTCTGTATAATCTATATCGGTCCTTTCTTTTTGACTAGTATCACTCTGAGCAGTCTGCACGATAGTGCTGGCATCGACTGTAACATCTTCGGCATGAGCAATCATATTGCTAACTTTACCTGAATGTGTAAACAAATTTTAGATTTTGTCATTTTTGTTTTAATAATTATTGAATTAAATTGAATCATATTGATTTTTTCTCTCTTTTCATTTCATATACACGGTATTTCTTAAATATTGAGTTGATAAATAATAGGAAATTTTTTTTCTACAGTGCTTAATAAAACGGTTATTACTGAGTAAAGCTAAATATTAATATTACATATATTAACAAAAATGGTTTTCATTTAGTGATTTATATTTGAGTAAATACACAACAAATAAACACAAAAGCAAAAATCATGTATAAAATATGTTGAATATGTATAAATACATAGAAATTTATCAATAACTACTGGATATATAATACATTTTAACCATATTCAACATATTTTTGTAATAAACAACAAATAAAGCATATAATTAATGTATGTTACCTTATTTCTATGTATTTTGAACTACAAACTCACCAAACACAGTTGGAACAGCATCTTTTTTCAGTATGCGCTTGCCGTTTCCATTTTTCGATTCAGTCCATATTTCTGCATGAAAGTGTATCTGAAATAATATACAATATAATATACAATATACATCGTTTTATAATTTACATTCAAAAAGCAAATTCTTACTAACCTCACATAACACTGAATTATTGGACGGAGACCAATCCTGTCGTCCCATGTTTTTAGTCCAAATTTCACGTCTTTTTGGATCTCGTGGGAAGCGGCACATTTTATATCCCTTTTTGGCGGAATTAACACAATAATCGGCTACACAGCCAGGCATTATGATAGCTATAATGCATCAACAACTAGGTTAAGTTATAATTACACAAGAAAATCACGTTTTCATCTCATTAAAAGAATATATAATTACAATGTAATTTTTGCCATTTACCTCTTCTTCTTCTTAATTTATTATAAATGGCACTCGCTAATCAAAATGCCAGCAAACGAACCTTTTACGTAAATAATTCGCTCGAAAGGGAGTCAACCAAACCATTCGAAACAGTGTAAATAGTGTACACATAAATGGTACACACAGATAGTACACATGGGCATGTAACTTCCGCTTTTGCCTCAATTTGGTGAACCAATCACCGATCGTTACCCTATTGACCGTACTCTTATTATAGGTACTCTAGGTAAAAGTAACTTTTCCATTTTCGACTTTCTGAACGGGGTCAGAGACACTTTTATCCTGAGCCTCTATTCTCGAAAAGAAACGTATACGGAATTCTAGAAAAATACTATAGTATACGTAACGTATACTGTGGTATTTCCCTAGTTTTTCGTATACGTTTCTTTTCAAGAATGGGGGCCCTGTGTGTAACATTTACGAACGCAGGCCGAATAAGTTCGCTTACCAGCCATGGAAACACGGTACACTGTCTGAGTGTTGCACTAGTGGGCGATAGTACAGCCAAGAGAAAACGCTATAGGATTCACACTACGTATGACATCCGTCATACCCGATCATGTCCGATGTTAATCATAACAATGAATATCGGATGTGGTATGACGAATATCGTACGTAGTATGAATCCTACATTTCAAGTACGCTTTGTTCGGAACGACTCCGAGCAGCTCCTGAGAGACAAAACGAACAATACTAATGAGCGTGAATAAACAATTAATGCCTTCCACCCCTGTTTCTACATTGCGCATTACCTTCTCGGTTATTTTCACATTCATGATCTTAGTCAAACGGAGTTATTAACAATACGCTAGTTTCTCCAATCTCGATTGGCTAATCTGGTTTGTCTGACTACGGCCATGAACGTGAAAATCGAGAAGATAAACGCGGTGTCTCACCAGTGGACGTGATGTCATAGGCTTGGAAGGCATTAATTGCACGAACTATACCGCAAATCGCATCCATTTTGTTGCAAAATGCGGCCATTTCGAATTTATGCATTTGTATTACGTGCTTTATTTGGGAAAATGAAGCCGTCAAGTATGTAAATCAAGTTTTTTAGTTGTAATTAGTTTATTTATGAACAAAAGAATATGTACGAATGCTTAATTTATGTGTTCTTTAGTTTAATATGGGTTTATTTGTTGTAGAAGTTTAGTGCATGAAAGTGTACGAAGGGACATGTTAGTACAGTTTAAAAGATGAACCACTCAACCCACTATGCTTGGAATCGTGTGCACTTCGGCCATTTTGTTGCAACATTTCTGAAATCAATTGCGGTACTTTAGAAATCTAGTGACTTTAGATGATCCCATTCGCAAATCAAGAATATATTCTTAATTTAAGAGGGAATATTCTTATAGCTGTTAAGATGAAATATTAAGTACATCTTTCAAGAATACAATTTTTTCGGTGTCGGTATATTTCGTCGAAACTAAAAACGTGGTTCTCGCCCGTCATGCCATTACATGTTTGTTCCGTATGTCAACATGGACGCGCTCTCTCTTCCACCTCGCTTCTTCCACGCGCGGTCCTGCGCGATAGCTTGCGTCGGTAGTCGCTGCTGGGCTAGTTCGCGTGGCCCGTTTTCGGCTGCTGTCTGTATTTTCTAACACATAACAATCAACTATGTAGGCATCCGTACATAACCGCATTGTGGTTCAACCCTAACCTCCGTAATGATTTGAAAATCGTATCCTTTCGAATTTTCAGTCTGTATTTCTGCCTCGGCAATACGCATATTATAAAAAAAAAATCATCCATTCATTGTCATCAAATAATCCTTTTATTTTATCGACAGATAAGTACTGACACACACGCACGCACACACGCACGCACGCACGCACGCATCCTCGCAACGCGTACATCCGAACGCACGATGTGCAAATTCCGACCGGCAAACTCCACATGGTGCACATTGGGTAACGCTAATGTTAAAAATAACTAAACGTTATTTTTCAAGAAATGAGTAGAGCATTTTAAAAATCCATATCAAAATAACATCACATAATAATGTAAGAGATATGTTTCATATGAAAGTGTTTTAGTTTTAGACAAATATATTAAATTTTTCAAGAAAAATCTTTTTATTTTATAGAGTGTGCGTCAAAAGTATATATGTTATTTTAGAAAGCAAAATAATGAGTGCATTCAGTGGGCGCGTTCAAGTCGACAAAGTAGCTAGGGTTGCATTCCAAAACTTCCTCTCCGAGAAAAATTTTACTCAATGGCATTCCAAAATGTTGCGAACGTTTCCGATTAGTTCCTCGCCTATCATTCGGAAGTATTCCAAAACTAAAAGGAAGTTTTCGTATTTCCTCCATCGAATAAAATTCTCACCTGCATTTTGTATGCGGGAACTACGAGTAAACTGCGATGATTTGTGGAAAAAGCAAATAGGTTGAGAACGGAACGTGATATTATGTTATGTAGGTTATGGAATTTTTGAGTCTCTCTCTTTTGATGCCTTATAATTTTAGGCATGTCTCAAAGTTGTTCATCCGAGGCCCAAATTCCTCTATAAAACTAGGCATAGTTCTTCGTTGTATTCATTATTTATATTAATATTTATTGTTATACAAAAATCCTGAATTAGTTCGGCAGAAATTATGCTTATGAGAATCATGTCTTTAATGTTTTCCTCAAGCGCTCGTACGATGCAGCATTTTCTTCCACACTCCTTGCATTTTTGCAATTATTTGTGTCTGTGTATTCAGAATCTGCAATCCATACAATAATATTTATTACTGTAATATTTTATGATTTTTTTAGTTTATTATTATTATTTCTAGTAATGTTGTTAACTTCTTTTCCTGCTTTTTGTTTTTTTTTATGTTTAGTAATCGCTTTAGAAGTTGTTGGAAATGTTGGGATATCAGACTAAAATTTCCATCTGAAGGTTCACTACTGCTACTCTGTGACGAATCGACGACTTTTGCTGCTCTAAATTTCCTAAACCTTTTAAGTAATTCATCCCTATCAGTCCTAGAATTAATGTCAGACATTTCCTCGGCTTCTTTTAATTTTTTTCTTCCTACTGCATACTGTGCTGCAAAAAAATAATAATTGTAATAAAAACAATATTAGGCTGTATGGAAGAAATATATTAACATTTCAAGCAGAGAAGTTAAATACTACATTTAAAAAGAAAGAGAGAAATATTGTTTACAACATGTTCCATATATTTTTTTAATGGGATGACTCAATCACATAGGATTTGGATTTTCCATCAACTTTACAGCTCTGTCGTAGCTTGCGTTATTGGTGAAACCAACAGGCGAAATGGCACTCTGGAGATCTGAACTCAATCAATTGTTAGGTACTATTTGAAGTTCATCCTCAAATTCAACGATTGCATAAAATGGCTTGTTACTCATTCTGTCGCAATAAATATAAGAATTATACTTCGGTATGCAACAGTGGAAGAACTACATATTTATCTCCAAGAGACAATTTTACATATTTTCGAATGACATCTTTTAAAGGCCATAGTTTCAAATTAGAACATGAGTGCACAGTATAAATTCCAAATAACGAAAATGGGCAAGGAATATTATACAAATCTTCTTTTATCAAAAATTCATGATCTATTATCATTGGAATATTTCGCTGTGTACAGTATGCAATATTTTGTATACATACAATAGCACTGCACCTTAAGTCACAACAATTATCTGCCAGTGTCCCAGTTTTTAATGTTATACCGTTGTATTTCACAATTTTGTATATGTGCACACTTACTTCGTGAAATATGTTCGATCCAGAACATACTCGTATATAATGATGTACAGCTGTTTTTTTTTTGTGGTTTTTATTTCATATTTTCATATTTTAAGGTGCAATTTGCGGTAAATTTGTAATTGAGAAACACCGATAAAAACATTCGATAAATAATGAATAATAAAGTAACGTTTTACATCACAACGAGAGTCGTTCGGGATCTACGTCGAGAAAGCGCGCACGTTCACTTCGGAGTGATAGAATTTCAAGCTCGTTTCCCGTTTTTCATTTTTATTTGATCGAATGATGACTTTTCAAGAAGAATATCGCGGTAAAACTTATGAAATTAATTATCGATTATTACATTAATATCGGTTTGTTATTAATATTGGTTTAATTGACATGTAATTGTATTTCAAATTTTTGTTTCTTCTCCGGGAAGAGATGATTTTGGTTTTTCAATTTGAGAGAGTACCATAGAAATGGGAAATTTTAATCTTTCGTGATGGATAAAAGAACGAATCACATATTCGATCTTATCTGAAGGAAAGAAATCTTGCGATATCTCAAGAAAATAATCTCGCGAAATATATTGAAAATCACGGTGAAATAATGACGAGATCACGCGGAATATGTTCATTCGGCGTCCGCCTTAGCGTCCGTAAAGTGACAGATGATGGTTGTCTAAGAACATAAATGTTCTCGGCTTTTTGTCAACCCCGATTAAAGACGATACAGTGAGTAAATCTTCGATTTTTTAATCTCCGTTGTAAAGATCGCGCGACACGAGAAGCGCTGAAAGGAACTCGAAAAAACTTGGACCAAACTCCGATCAGTCGACGATTAATTCAACCAACAAAATTACTGTAAAATTTCTAGAACTGTACGATTCGTTGTACTTAATTATATTTTTTTTATACGTTAAATAGCAAAATAATTTTATCTTATAGGGTGTTTCCAAATTAAATCGCAAAACTTCGGGAGCGTGTAGAGGAGTAAAAAACTAAGAAAAAAAGTCCTATAGACATATGCTCGTTTTTGCTCCGTTTCAGAGAAATCGAAAAAAAATGTTTACATTTCTTGCCATATCTAGCACCGACATATTTGATTACATTTTCCACTTTCTGTTATGAATTTGTCAGTCGCTCTTTGAAAGCCTTTAACAGTAGATGAATTTTGTCTTTTGCAATATGCCGCGTACGTATTCTAATAGTGAATATGCTGATATGGTTTTTGTATACGGTTTCTGCAACGGTAATGCTTTAAAGGCGGTGCGAGAATATGCACGACGATTTCCAAACAGAAGAGTGCCAAACCGAAGAGTGTTTATGTTGACATTTAATAGATTGCGAGAGACTGGATCATTTTCAATTCGACAAGAAAACAACCGATTTCAAGCAGCGTTACGAAGAGATTTGCAGGCAGGGAATCGTATTTTACAACATTTTGACAATCATCCTGAGACCAGCGTTCGGAATGCGTCGGCTGTATTGGGAGGGTCACCACAAACAATTTGGCGAACTGTAAAAGGAGATAATCGCTATCCCTACCACATTCAAAAAGTGCAAAATTTATTACCTCAAGATCATTGGAACAGATTGAACTTTTGTAACTGGTACCTTCAGACATGCCACAATGATATTTTATTTCCATCTAAAATAATGTGGTCAGATGAGGCAACATTTACCAGAGGTGGAATAATTAATCAAAGGAATTATCATATATGGACTCATCAAAATCCCAGGTCTGTTAGAGAATACAAATTTCAGCAAGAGTTTTCTGTTAATGTCTGGCTTGGAATTTGGAACGACGTTTTAGTGGGACCGTTTTTTTTACCTGCAAGATTAAATGGGGACCGTTTTCTAAATTTCTTGGAGAATGAATTTTCTGACTATTTAGAAAACATCCCATTACAACAACGTACTGAAATGTGGTTTCAATTAGATGGATGCCCTGCTCATTACAGCAGAGTCGCTAGAACCTGGTTAGATAGAAAATTCCCACAACGATGGATTGGACGTGGAGGAGCAGTACATTGGGCAACTCGTTCGCCCGACTTAACGCCATTAGATTTCTATGCATGGGGTACTCTGAAGCAAGAAGTTTATTCTTCGCCTATTCAATCAGAGCAACATTTGAGAAATCGTATCGTAGCTGCAGCGAACAGAATATCGCAAGAACAGTGCCTGGCTGCTACAAGAGCCGTGTTTGACAGATGCAATGCTTGTATTGCTGCAAGAGGTGCACATTTCGAACAAAATCTTCAT